TTTTAATGACTAGTATCTGAATATTTCAAGACTCTTGTATTGATGGTTAGCCTAGTAAACTAGCCCCACCCGCCAGCGGCCAAAATCATTTTTGCCTGCGAGTTTGTCTAGCCTTGATCAATGCCCCAGGCCCTTTCACAGTGTAATTAAAATTTGTAGATTAATTAGTTGAATTATCTATGCATTTGTTAGCACATAAAATACAGTTAAGCTGAAATGATCTGTATTGAAATGTCTCCAATCTCTCTCTCCAGGTCTCTTATGTGGGACCCATCTGTACTGGTCTGCAGGTCCTTCATCATCAGTCCATGGATGAATCAAAAAGGGTCAGACTGAAATGAACTCTGAACTGGAAGCAGCTCGCTGGTTTCTGGAGAAAAAAGATCGGAATGAAAAGTTGTTGCTGTTTCTAATGGAGAGAACCTCCATCAGGTCTAACGAAGAAACAAAAAGATTTTCTTTAAAAAAAAAATGTCGACAGACCCTAAAGGAGCCTCCTGAACCAGCTGGACTTTTTAAAAAATGGTCAGTTTGTACAACCGTTGTTCTGAAGTAAATCTTTGTTTTTCTTTCTATTTTGTAAAAATAAAATGAATTTTGGATTTAGATATACCAGCAGGATAGAAACATACCTAGAGGCAAGGCAAAGCAGCCACCAGCACTGACACGAAAGACCTCAGACCTTTCCTTTTTGAGTTTGCTAAGACAAGCTCCTATTTTCTGTGGAAGCAGAGATTTTATTTTGCTCGAATCTCAAAAAGAGATCTTATATCTAGGAATAAAAATACTAAATCAGCCTCTTCTGCTGATCGCCCTTTGGCGAACACCGTTTGAATATTTATGAACCTAAAAGGTTTATTAAAGTATCTATTTTCTTTAATTGTTGAGAATAATTAGGTCTAGCAGAATTGTTTTCTTTTGACCTGAAGCACTGCAGAATCTTAATAACATTTGTAAATGAATGTAATGGCAAGCAGGCAGCCATTATTCAAACTGTCCTTTGTAATGATCCAGTCTAATGATAAATTTAACATGCAGCTCATGTAGAAACGAAACCAGAAGTTGTTCTGAGGTCAGCACTCTGAAGATTGCTTTCTTTTAGTTTATGATTCGTATGTCCCACCCAGAGCAGTTGCTGTATCCATGTTCCTGGATGATAACTGATGTACCTCAATCGCCCCCTGGTTTCGTACAGACATGGACAAAGGTTTTGACTGTGACAAAGATGTTAAGTATTATTGTGTTTTTGTTAACTAGCAACTACATCAAACTTCCACACCTTTGAGGTGAAACTTTAAGGTGTCTATCTCTTGCTCCTGAATCATTAAAAAAACTCTTGAAGGATGGTTGGATTCCACTCCCTTGGATTAAAAAGTATGGAATAAATTTTGTCCCATTATTTTTTATGACACGTTTTGTAAAAATGGAAATACAAAAAAAAATTCAGCTTGAATATTTTCAAATGTATCTATCTAAATGCAATTTAACAGATACATAAAATTTAAATAGATATGCAAATTTAAAAGTACCAAACGTCCAACAAACAGGACATGACAAATAACAGGATAACATAAGCCCTATTTACACTACCCATTTGAAACCGTGCTGAGAACAGTCTGATTACAGTAACTGAGATAACTGTTGAGTGTAAATGGAACGCAACTGAACTGGACCGTGCCAGACAAAACCGAGCCGCACTAAACTGGTACTAATGCAGACCGCGTCATCTGCTATTTACAGTTAGCTGACTCATTTTGTGGGTTTTCCGCTTTGTCCGGCTTTGCAATTCACACATCTCTTCACCTGTTAACAAGACAGAGTTCTTCTCAGAATATTCACAATGAATGACAACAGAAGAGGGTGGTGCGACCAAGGCTCTCAATTAAATCTGGGCGGAGGACGCTATCAAGGCACAGAAATTCATGAATGTTACGGGCGCCGCCATTTTTGTTTGCATTAATCCCGCCTAGTGTCGTGGGCCACCAATAGGAGGCGAGGAATTGTGTTAGCGTGATGTGTTTATGGTCGTAAGAACCAAGCTCGACCCTGTTAATTGATCCAAGCTCAGTTCGAACTCGGGATGGATCGGTTTCAGAGGGCCAGTGTAAATGGGGCAATAGACGGCCTTAAGGAAATGCAGCTTAAAAGGTAGAAATTCCGGCAAATTAATATTGCAACTCAGACCTGTTCTTCATCATAGAAAAATTCAGTATACAGAATGGCCACTCAAATTATGCAATGGTGATCTAACAATAAGGCTACATTATTTCATGCTACACTATGCAAAACTTTGTCTGCACTGATGAAGATTAACTTACTTCCAGCTGCAGTTCAACACCAGCAATAGTTTGCTTTCATGTGACATCACATAGCAGATGGAGGACAGGAAGCACAGAAGCTATGGATTTGTTTATGGCTGCGCCAATCATTTATAACAGAAAAAAGTGGCCATTATGAAGTGCCAAAGGCTTTTGTTCAAACAACCCAAAAAAGTGGATTTTAAATCTGCATTCAATTGGGAGGAGTTGAGTCTGCATACATCACTGTCTGCAGCAGCTACTTCATCACTGGTAGGAAGTGCTAAAGGTTCAATAATGTTCCTGCTAGAGGCTTTTTTACTTAAAAATTACTTCTTAAGCTACCATAATTCTAATATGGACTTCATCAGGAGTTTTCGGGCTGCTTAGCTCCATGTTAAATTGGATAAACTGAGCCCTAATGGTCAATCTCCATTTAATATATGACTTTATGTATTAACACTAATTATTGTGAGCCATGTGATGCTGAGATTCTGGGCCAACCTGCTGACTAGAAAAATTGTAGGTTTCAATGCATCATTTTGTCTTGCTCCAACCCAAATCAGACCAATTTGTTGATGCGCCAACATGCCTGGCAGGAAAGGAAAACACCAGAAAATAGCTGTCCCTCTGTGTTTGTCTATCCTGTGAGTTCTGGATCAGTCTTAGGGTATCTTCCTAGCATTAGAGCAGCAGCTCTGAACCAAACTTTCCCCCAGACGTTTGAATGGGTCCATGTTGTTAAAGTTAACAGTTGTAATCATGACACCTTCTGGTGTTTTTGTCTTGAGATTTCTTTTTTACCTTATAAAATTTTTCTCTTATAGTTACCTGTAAGGCAACTTTTCTGGTTTCCTTTTGTCTCTTGAAACGTGGGAAACTGAGGTTCCACTGGGTTATGCTCTGTTAGACCTTTTTTTTTCTTTCTTCACCAAAACTTCTCAGCATTTCCTTCTTTGCTGTTTACAAATTATTCAACAGAAATCAGAAAAGGAGTTAAAACCAAACTATAGAAGGAAGAAGACATGTACCATTTATTCACTGCAAAATTGTTTGCTAATGGGGAGAATTAAAAATAAATATATGTAAAGACGCCTGTCTCAATTTAATTCAACTTAAAATGTGCTTTTTTTACATAATGCCCTGCCTCTCGGTGTATGCCTTCCATACCTTGTACCTGTCTTGTCTGAAAAGCCCAGCAGGATTTCTTTGTATCCTGAAGCTTACCTCTGGCTCCAGACTTTTAGTAAAAAGGAAAACCCAAAACTCTACTGTCTGGTTTGCTTTTAAGTCTAGCTTGTTTTTTTTTCTTGTTTGTTTCTGGGGAGGTGGGCGATAGTTGGAACCACCTCTTTTTCTAAGTGGTTGAAAAAAGCTCGACTGAACAGAATTAAGTTTTCCTTACCTTGAAACTCTAATATGGCATCTCATTACTAAACAAGGAATGCATGATATTATCGACATGCTGTAGCTGTCAGCCGATTTTAGCTTCCATCAGTATAATTCACCCACTTATAAGGTGTTGAGGCATTGTTTTTGTGACAAAGCTGGCTTCTATGAGCACAGACTCAGAGTCTGTGCCAGTAGAGTAAAATGTTTTCTTGTTGTTGATGTTTTTTTCACTTTTAACAACGGCTGCAATAGCCTTTTTCATTTTATTGAGTGGCTGTTTGTGTTGTTTTTCAATAGCCTTAATCCTTTTCCATATAATGAACACAAAGTTAATTGTCGATTTATGTTTTTTTTTTATAGAATAACATGTTTTCCACCCCATTAATAGCACCCATTCAGAAATAAGTTATTTCATTGGTTTTTGCTAAAGAAGTAATGCCAGAGTTGAGGCCTGCTGGAGCAAAAACATGAATCGATCCAGAGTCCAGTCTGGGATTATTTATACTCTTAGATGGTGACAAGGTGGCAGAATAAGATTATGTTGTTCCGTAAATGCTTAGATTAACTCTTTAAGTTATCATTCAATTAGTGCATGGCATCAACTTCCCTGCTGTTCTCATAAGGTGAGGATGTGATAATAAAAAAGTGGGGGGATTTATGCAAAACATTTGTACATGATAGAAAAAGGCATGCTAGCAATTAGCATGGTATATTGGTGAGGTTGTTTTTGTGTTAACGGACTTCATGGCGCCAAGTTTTAACATTCTTCTATGAGAAAGCAGAACCACCCATTTGCTAACAAAATAAAAAGTCTCTCCTAGTGCTGATTATTGGATTACATTAAAAACAAGCTATTTTACAGTTAGTATCCACTTTACTCGACTGAAGAAACAAATAGTCTGACAGTATGTCAGAGCGACATACCCTGACTTTTAACAGAATTCAGAAGTTTGTGCCAGGGAAGATTGGAAATTCTATGTGTTTCACGTATTCTATTCAGTAGCCTAAAACATCACATCAAACAACACATCAAACAAAATAAGTTCAAGAGTATTTAAGAAAGCATTTTTGTTTATTCAGTCAGCTCTTTAATGGGATAAATTATTAAAGCTATAGAGCAGAGGTCTTCAGCAGGTGGTCCGTGGCCACATTTCTGAGCCAATTGTACTGCATGAGGGTCACAAATGTTTTTGTTGATTAGACTCTTTTTTTTTTTTTTATATTCCCCCCTTAAATTTTTCCACTAAATCAAATGTCTTTAAATACACATTAACATGAATTCAACACACCGAAGTAAACAGATAAATGGAGACAGAAGATGCCTTTCAGTCATCAATGCACACATTCAGTGACACACAGGAAAATGTAAACTTGAGCTGCTGTGGGAAAGGAAGATGCACATGGATTATATATTATATGAAAGTGCTTAACAATTGATTCATCTTCGTTGTGAGAACCTTTCCTGTGTCAGAAGGATGAAGGGTCTATGTCAGAAGTGGGATTCGAACCCACGTCTCCATTAGAGACTGCAACCTGAACACAGCACCTAGGACCTTTCAGCCTTGGACCCTGGTGTATTTGGAGTTGGGGATGTGTACCTTTATTCCCAGGGTACTATCAGCTTCCATTGGACCCCTGCACCCAGAGTAAAGACTATAAATTGTGGTAGAGTATCTAGGGAAGACTGGAAGTTTTGAGCCCTGGTATGCTCAGCACTTACCCAATGAAGTACATGGCTTACCCAAGAGACGTTTGATATTTGAATGGCAGGAAAAGTTTAA